GTGTGTGTGTGTGTGCGCATCAGACAGTGACAGTTGAGCGAACAGTGACACTCCAGGTTGGCAGAGATATTTTGGAGTGTAGGACGAGAGAGAGAGTGAAAGTGAAAGCGAGGAAGACAAAGGCAGAAAAGATGAAAAGATCATTTAGAAGATTTCCCCTCGCTCCCTCTGTCGTGAATTTTCACCTCCTCCTCCTCCTCCTCCTCTGCCTCCTCTTCTAGTGGATTGACAGCGCACCCTCCTCCCCCACCAAGTGCTCTTTGATTGACAGGACTCCACAGACTGAGGCTCTTATCCCCTGAAACAAATCGTGTGCTGCTCTTCCTCACCTCCTTTCTCCCCTCTGTCTGCCTAGACAAGCCTCCACTGTCCCTCTCACCTCACCCTCCTCTTCTTACTCCTTCTTTCTTCCTTTAACTCGTTGTAAATGCTTTCTTATCATATTTGTCTCCTCTTCTGTTCATTTTTCCATCCCTTCTTTCCCACCATCTCGTCCTCAAGCTGTGACCCCTCTTAACCCTATAGATTACACACACACAAGTGCAAACACACACACAGAAAACCCCTTAAACCCCTCAGGCTTATGTGGGCCCCTTTAGACTTTAAAAGGATACACACTAGTACCCATAACCCTCTTACACTCACACACAATATCACACACTTTCAAACCGCCTTGACACTGATCTAAGCCCTGAACACACTGCCTGAGACTATAACCCCCTGAAACCAAACTCACACACACACACACACACACACAGCCTGAGCTTATTAAGCCAATTGGAGGAGTCTAAACAAGCAGGCAGCTGAGCAGTGAGGTAGGTAAACCCTCAGGGCCACAGAGAGAGTAAAACAGAGTCAAAAAACAAAAAGAGAGAGTAAAGGAGGGAGGGGAGGGGGTGAGAATGAAGCAGAGCACAGGGAAGAGGAAAAAGGACAGATTGAGGATGGAGGAAGCTACAGAGTGTAAGGAGAAAGAAACAGAAAAAAGAGGAGATGAGGATGTTAAATGACTGAGAAAAGACAGTAAGAAAGAGAAAGTGAATGGCAGCTGCACACAAACACACACTCACAGAGGAGGAGAGTGGATGTGGCTCTTTAGGAGTCAAGCAGGCGTATGATAGGATACCGTTGCATGTCGTTAACCCCATATTAACCCTGAGAGGCAGCAGGACACTCACTGCACTACAACATGGATTAACGGGGCCACACACACAGTAACACGCAGACACACACACACACACACACACACACACACACTGGTACGTTAAGCTAACTGTCAGTCACACATACAAATGCGCACAAGGACTGATATCCTCATTGACGCCATGCAATGAGCTGTCAATCACATGCCAATGCTCTTTTCAGCATTTTTTTTACGTTTGTACCCACAAATTAAATGACATACATCTTCTTATTTTGTAAATCTGATGTTGGACAGAACATGTTGTTAGAAGAGCGACATTCTAAAAAATCTGAAATTGTTTTATTGGTTAGTTGGCTCTGCACTGTGGTTCCTCACAGTTTACTGTTTACTTCCCTGATGATCTGGGGAGAGTTACTGACTGTCACGTCACCTCCAATACATAGAGTCACTGCAGCATCTGTTTAACCTGTGGGAGCTACAACAGGACACTGTAACAGGTGTGATGGTATGCTATGAATGCATGCTCTGTCACTTTACCTGAAATGTTTTCAATAGTTTCCAGTATTGCAAGAGATAAGACATCTAGAATCAGGGCTTGCTGGTTGGTTTTACACGCGTACTGTATGTCTAATCGAACAGCCCACCTCTGCTTCTACAACAAGACAATGATCCAAAGAAAACCTCAAAATCCATCATGGATGTCTTCAAGGGACACAAGCTGAAGTTTTTGGCTCCCACAGTCCCATGATTTGAACACCATTAAAATCTTTGGGTAGCTCTTAGACATGCACTTGCAAAGCAGCTTAAAACTGTCACAGAACTTGAAATGATCTGCAAAGAAGAGCATTTGAAAATCCTAAAATTATGGCTACAAAAAGTCTTTAGCACTGTGATGTCTGCCAATTAACATGTGAAGAAAGGCTGATTTTATGTCTGTTTACTGCACGGGGTTGTATTTACATATTTTCAGTTCAAAATTTAAAATCTTTGACATGTAATGGCATCTTAACATCTGCCTGTTTACAAAATGTGACACACTTACAGTATAGCTTGTATTCTGACTTTGTCTCTCTCTCTACACATGTTTGGGTTGGACAGCAGAGATCCAGATGTTAAATGGGGAGTCTGTGAACCACTGTGAATTGGGGGGTAGGGGGTGGGGGCACAGGAAGTATCCCACGGTATCCACGGTAACCTTGACATTCCGTCCTGACCAAGTTCCCTGACATCTCCCACAATTCACTCTGCTCCTCTCTTTTAGCCATGAAACACACACACACACACTAATTGACCTTGGACCAAGGAAGTACTCCGACTTCACTAATTTCTCTTTTAACTTCCTGTTGACACTGGAAGTGGGAATGCATCACATTGCACAGCTGGCGATCACCTCACGGCTACACTGTAGCAAATATTTGACCAGTTTCATGATCTAGCACACAGTGTGTACACCAAAATCCTTTTTTTTTTAATCCAGTACGTGTAGTAATATCACATCATACGAATTCCACGTAAATTTGGACGCATTTCTAACTTTGATGAAAGTATAGTAGTCTGTATGAACCAATCAGGACTGTGGCTTTTTAACTTGTATTTACAGTAGCCAGCAAGAGCAACTGGAAGTCGAGACAAAAATAGAAATGAAACAAGTCCAGAAAACATCAATGTATGTCACTTATTCTTTCAGTGGCCCAACCCAAGACATCCACCTCCTCATACATGCCCACAATGATATACACATACTCAGACAGATGCACACCTTCAAGATGTTTAAGCTAGACAACAAAAATACAAAAATTGGGCTAAGGATACTATAATGTCCTGCGCACACAACATGCACAAACAGAAATGACACATACACACACCAAAAACACACACACAATTATGTGTACATGCCGATCATGAAGCCTTTTCCATTTTTTGTCTTACATAGCACACACTCACACACACCCACGCAAACGGAGATGTATGTTCTTTGAAATAATGCCATCAAAGCTCACTTTGAGACACGAGTGTTTATCCACTTCATAAGATTTCTCCACACACAAAAATAAGTGGGGGAGGTGAGACAGAGAGCAGAGCAGAATCCTTACAAGCCAAAAGTGGGAATTAGGGTGTTTGGCTTGAGAGAAGAGAAGACTAAAATTTAAACTCCTGGTTATCTCTCATCACACATGACAAAGATAGGAATTTATTTCTATGGGGTCAAGATTAAGATATTTTTTGTGTAATGAGTGCATTCAATTTGTTAAAATACACTATAGAAATACATATTGAGAGCAAAAAATACATAGGAGACACCTACAACCATTGTGATATTTTGGTAAGATTTGATTTGATGTGATGTGATTTGATAAAAAAGAAAGCCACATGGAAACACTAATTCATGTGCATTTGACCTCAGAAGAAATCACAAGAAACCATTATGCTACCTAATTTGTCTGATGTGTTTGATGGAAGATGAAACAGCAAAACATCTACACTTTTAGCTGTCTCAGCTGTCAAAACTGTGCAAAATCTTGGGTTAAAACCTTGCACCTCTTCTCCAAAATACCAAAAATCAGGAAGTGAAAAGCACTTTTATATCTTGATTGCAATGTAATTTGAGTGTTTTATGAGAGAACTATCCCTACACTGCCCTGTAATCATATATTGATGGGGAAAACATAAGTATAATCCAAACAGATATATAAACAGCACATAGTTATAGACAGTAAAGAAAATATTGTAGATACAATGACACCCAATTAGCAGTGTGATTATGTTCTTTAAAAAAGGTACAGTAGAACACATTTTTACAAAATTATTCATTTTTACCCTACATCAGATCATGTTGATACTATAATCACATTAAAAAATTATATAAAATGTAAGCTAATGTAATATTTTGTACTGTTACTTGAGGTAGCTTTTACCTTAACCATAAATGATTACTGGGTTCTTTGATCATGTTTAATATTTCACCTCCCACTGCCAAACACACAGATGTGTTTGCAGAAAACCCTGCTCACAGAGGGTTAAAACAACTGCCAAAGAGAAATCAGATTAAAATGAGGTAGGATCTCATTTCAGTTTTCTGTCACTTTTTTCTTTGCTCATGACCCATTTTTCTGTGCTGCTGCAGGAGAGACAGAGGGGGAGAGAGAAGGGGGGCAAGGGAGGGATAACTTCAGTCCTCAGTCTCCACAGATAGACAGACAGGAAGAAAGAAAGAAAGCGACAGACAGAAAGACAGGAGCGGCAGAGAAAATGACAGACAGCTCCTGCTAGTCAACAGCTTTCTATTTTGCATTACGTAGAGGAAACACACTCATTTGAGCACTGTTTGTTCACTCAAGTCTGAAGGTGTGCACGTGTGTGTGTACATATGTGTGCATGAGCCTGAATCTGTCACATATGAGGTCGTAAGTCAGCAGCTGTTGTGCATGTGTCCCCTCTACATACTGTACATAGGTCAATGATACTGAAAACCACATGCACATGTAAATAAATATGTGTAGGAACTTTTATTTCTTGCTGCACATGAGTCCTGCTGCCTTGTATATGCAAAGCATGGGTCTCAAATGTTTTACTCTATCTTGCTTCAGAAACAATCGATTCTATCTGAGGAGCATCTATTTCAGGAGTGACAGCAGATCATCCAAACAGAGAAACATCCCGCCCTCCGTCGCCATTCAAACAGGTCAACACAGTCCCTCATCAGGCATGTGTATGTGTGTGTGTGTGTGTGTGTGTGTGTGTGAAAGACAGAGACAGAGTGAGAGACAGTACCTGTCGATGATAACAGGGTCTGAGGGTGTCTCATTACGGTTTCCGCAGCTCTTCTTGTCACAGCACCGACTAAGAGAGGAAAAGAGAGAAGACAGCCAAAAAGGATACAGGGCAAAGTTAGAAAAGACTCAGACACAGGGAACATACAGTACATTATACAGATGATTCAGTTTGGTTGTATAAATGGGAGTGATACCATATAACATGATGTGCTTTGTCTGTACTGATGTAGACAACCTATCACCAAATTCAAATGAAATCTAAGTAAAATGGGCTAACAGGAGTTTTACACAAAGTCTGCTATGCTGAGCAAGTCTACACTGACAGCACAGATAAAAATAGACTTCTACGACAAGGAGTGTATAGCAGGATCTGAAAGAAATACGCCTGTTTTAAAGGCACTAGCCAGCTGGTGAGCTCAGTCATTTTGTAATGTGCTCCAGAACCCTGCTACAGCTTGGAAACTGCCTACACTTGGTTTAGATCTGGAGAAACACCTTTTGTAGTTTTGCACCAGTAATAGTTCACTTACTGCTTATTTGAAAAAAAAAAAAAAGTTCAAGAGGACATGTGAATTTAAGAGAAAATTTGTCATGTGTGATGAACAGGTGAGGAAAAGAGGACTAAAGAGGCTCAAAAGAGAGGAGAAAGCAAGAAAAAAGGAAAACCTGGCATGTGCACCATGTTCACACATGTACGTGCTACAAGTGTGTCAAAAAGGCTTTTTTATACGTGCATCAATTATGAATAAAGGTGTAAGCAGGAGGGGGGATGATGAAGGTTAAGAGTGAAAGGGTGAGCGGGGGAGGGAAACCTAAAACAAGAGGGTGAGAGGAAGGGTGGCAGAGGTTTGGGTGGGAAGGAGAGGAAGGGGAGACGTCTCAGGTTTCCCACTGTCACAGATGGCGGAGGTGAAAAGAAAGAGACTGATATGTTACACCTTACATATTGCCTCCACTATCTGCCGCTCTGCCTCTCTTTCTGCTCTTCCTGTCATTTCCATTCTGCTACTCTGTGATCTGGGTCACCACACGGCCCCGTCGGAGAACAGTGAAGACCCAGCGAGAGGTTAGAGAGGAGGAAGATGGGAGATAAGGGAATGGGAAAATGGAGAAATGGAGGAAAGGAAAGCTGAAGCCTGTGGATGCAGGGGTGGGGTGAGAAAGGAGAAAGGACGGGAGGGGCAGATGAGGAGGGGAGATTAAGGGAGGACAGGAGAAAGAGGAGAAGCAAACATAGTGGAATATTTTATAAATGGAGGGGTAGCGGGAAGGAAAACGAGGGGCGGGATTGGGATAATATAGCACTCATTACTCTGGATCCTGGTGATCTAATCATCCGCTGTCCCACTGCATCTTCCCCTCCTCCCTCACACATGCACACATACAAACTTGTTTTTGTCATTTACCGGGTCCCTACATAGACTGACATTCATTTCTTACTATAAGTTTATAATGTGTTGTTTTCATAAAATTTGATAAACTACGTCATGGGGAATAAATAGTCCCCACAAGTGATGCCAGTACCTGCAAAGCTGGTATGCTCCCAGTTTTCCATCTCCACAAGTATATAAAAACAGGGCCACACACATCCTACGTTTTTCACATGGCAGGTCTTTACATTGATTTACATTAATTTCCATGAGTCTTACCTGAATCATAACCACTAAATGTCTAACCCTAACCCTTGCCCTCACCTTAAACTAAGTCCTCTCCCTAAAATGTTGTGATTTACTTTGTGAGGACCAGCACCTGGTCCCCACAGGGAAGGCAAGTCCCCACAATGTTAGTGGTGTCATGGCTTTGGATCCCCACAACTATAGGAAAACAAAGGCACATGCACACACATGTTTAAACAATAGAGCCCAATAGCCTGAACTGGAGATGCCACTGTCAGCTGTTTCTTATGTGAAACTAACAATGGAATTAATAAATGTTTACAATAGTTCTGGTTACAGCGAGTTAATACAAACAATGGATCAACGAAGGATGAATTAATTGGTCAATCAAAAGAAAATTGATGATGTACAACTCTGGTAACTGCTTCAAACGTGACTCTTTTGTATCACTGTAAATCTAATGTCTTTGGGTTCAGACTGTTGGTTGGACACAACACCAGCAATTTAGTGACATCAGTTTAGTAAATTTGTTTATTTTTGATATAAAACCTCCTCACGAGATACTCGACATTTCAATGTGAATATAATCCTTATTTTCACAGTTCAAGTAATTACTGGGAGTGAAAGATTTGCTAGCTGATGTTTCTCTTTTAAATACAGAGAGATGAACCTAAACCAACAGTTTTACTGGGTACATGAGATATAGAGGACAGTGGCCTCTGTCATCCATTCTGGAGAAAACCCTTTCATCAGTTCGTGCCAAAGCTCCAAACAGGTTTTCAGTGCTGGCCTGTGTGGTGGCAGACTGGCCGGGAGCATATGGTTAATAGCACCACGGTGACAATGAGCCACACTGATTAATGGACGCCCTGAGCTCTTTGTGTGCGTACTATACTGTGTGTTGTGGGCAAGGCCCCTGTTGCAGAATCAGCATGTGAGAACACGAGGCAATAGCCATAACTTTGACCTCAGCGGCTGTTGCAGACAAGCTAGAGTTTGCACTCACTGCAGAAGTCCTGCTGTCTGAATGGATGGGCTCCTGCTCCCCCCGGGGAAATGTTTGACTAATTCTGCAGGACGGTCAAGGGGTGGGGGCCTTTGTACTGTACAAGTCTGTGTATGCTGTAAGTTCTGTAATGTTAAAAGGTTTAATTCATGTCCACAATTCATTTCACACATGATGAACAGTAAAATCTGTTGCCAAATACAATTTATTTATAAATTCCTTGTAAATCTCATCAGAATTTTAATGGGTTTTCCATAAACCTCTGCAGCTGAACTGCCTGAGGAATATTCAGCGAGCTATAGAATAAAATATTAGTGCACCTGAATTCATGGTTAAAATCCCTGCTTGTGCATATAGATGAACCCCAATTTATATTGTTACACTTAAAGTTGTTTCAGTGACAAGGTCAGGGAATAAGAACAACTTAATTCATGTGCTAAATTTGAATTTTTATAACTGTGTGCACGAGTGAGTGTGTGTATGCATACTTCTCAGTGAGTGTGAGCGTGTGTGTGCGAGTCCCTGCCTATATTTTATAGTCAAATTGTGGAGGAAGGCCCATTTGTTAGCCATGAAACAACAGGAGGGTTCAGATTGACTAATGAGTTTCTCTGTGTCCTAATTAACCAGGCATCACAGACACATACAGACACACAAACAGCACACATGCATCCATACACACATTTTCTGTTGTATAGGATAGGTTGTTAAAACGCCTCTATAAATAGAACTCTTTCCTCTCAACCTACTTCTGATGAAATTAATCTTCAGATTATAATTAAAGCAACAACTCTGATAGCTAAAACTCATCTTCCTCAACAGATATGGCTTCATGTGTGTTTGTGTCTCTGTATGTACGTGTGGGGGGGTTAATGGGGGTGACATAATAAGAAATGTCTTATAGCGCAGAGAGATGACTTGTGAGAACTTTCTGCAGATGAATGAAGTGTGTTGCCAAAGAAAAGAGGTACAGATGAAAGAAGGAGGGATTGTGATGAGGAAGGAAAAGTCATCCTCACCTGCACATGATCTCATGTGTCAGCAGCACTCTGCACATCTCTGGGTTCTTGTCTTGGCCTTCATAAACAATTGGCTGAAAAGAGACACAGATAGACATATAAAGAGGGGGGGAAATACTGTTGTTAGCTGGCGGCAAACAGACAGAATAACACAAAGCTCCAAATCCAGTAAACACTCTCCCCCATCCCTGATATGGTGTTGGGTTTAGAGATGAAGCTGTAATAACACAAATAAGTGTTTTAGTTAAACGGTTTCACTGTGTTATATAACTGCCTCAAAATTAGGCAACACTAAATCTTGATGTGTGCTCTCCAAAGTCAGCAATACTGAAGAACATTATAAATAGGAGCAAAAAAAACAAAACAAAATACCATCTTGTTTTTGTCCAGTTCTGCAATCCACAAATGACCTCAAGGATAAGGCTGGTATGTTTTTAATAGAATAACAACAACTGTATGAAACCAGACGTCCCTGTGAAATTGAAAACATTTAAAAGTTGGTAAATATAGATTTAAATTTCCTTAAACAGCTGGGCACTATTGTTTTTAGCAAATGTTACTCAAACCAGACTAAACAGTGCATTTGTTGGGGGCTTTTTATAAATTATCAATAATATACACTTGATGCTGTAGTGCAGGGCCGGTCCAAGTCTTTATGGGGCCCTGAGCACAATTTGATTTGGGGGCCTTCCACCACCTCTGCACTGCCAGTGCTATTGACTATTGTCGATGCTTGATCAATTGCACACATACTATAAATCTAATACACCTGTTATCAATCTTATTAACTGTAGCTGTTTTCTTACATCATATCATTAGCCCTTTTCAGACATGCACCTGAACCCTGAAATTCTCGAGATATTACCTGTATGGGAGGGGGACCTGTATGTCAGAACACAAATGTCCGAATCAGTTGACCCAGATGTTAAGCAGACTTTACCCTGCCACCTCCCTAGCAAAAAGTCTATGTAATGTCCAGTTAAGCTGGAATGAGTCCATGTACGAATGCAGCAGCGTATAGTCCGGAGTATTCACACAGAGCTAGCGGGGCGTGTTGATGACGTTCTATCATGTGACCGGCACAAAATCGGAAAGATACAAACCTCCAATGATGAGGAAAAACAGATATTTACAACGAAGATGCCAAAGAAAATATCTGACTGGAGACATGACAATATATGGGAACTTCTGTCGTTAAGAGCCAGTGCCTGAATCATCAGACAAAGTAAGAGACTCAGCTGATCAAAACAAATTACAAACTACGTAACCAGGTCATGTTTTTGCTGCTTTTTCCATGTAATCTAATGTTAAGGTCTGATAGACTGTGCTTGCATCATAAAGTAGTTAATGGCCATTACAGTGTGCATATGCGTAAACAAACTCTCCAGGTACAGTTCAAGTGCTCTTGGAGTCCCTCTGGTGGGCATGGGGCCCTAAGCAGACACTTAGTTCGCTTATGGCTCTGCTCTAGTGAGTATTTACGGCAGCCAGGACAGGGTAAGTACTGTATATTTGACTCAAAATATCCCACAACGCCCATGTTTAAGGTAATGAATGATAATGTGTTTTTAATAGCTTCTGGACATTGGTGAAGCTCTACAGCACACAGGAATGAGCTACATCAGAGTTTGGCTTTATGGGCAACACTAGTTATTAGGATCACTTCATTGTTTTCATTGAATTTATTGACAGTGAGGAAAATAAAAAAATATCACCAGGCTTATCCTTCAATCACAGGCAAATTTCCAGAGAATGACTGTAACTTTATATCACATCATATCTAATATGAAATCATCATATTCAAGTGAACATAAGAGCCTTGTTAAAGGCCCTCTGATATTGTCTGCACCAGTGCACTGATGCATAAAAACTTATTTGCATGCTTTCAGCACACTGTGTTTGACATCTACCAAAATGGTGATAGGATATTATTATATTTGGCAGCACTGTACTGTGGAAAAACACAACAACCATGTCACACTGGGAGGAATTTGTGCTTTTTATACTGTTGCTGTGATGAACGTTTATTTCTTTTCTCAGGTTATGGCAGTAACACTGAGAGTGTTATTGGGATAACAGGTTAGTTCCCACCTCACCTCAAGGTACATGCAGTTCAGCAGTAACACCTCTCCTTCACACTCACACCCATTGTCACTGTGCAGGGTGTGACCCCCACCCACTCTACAAAATAACAACCATATCTCATCTGCTCACACACTGATCAGCTGAAAGTTTGAAGTTGAATAAAGTTTGCTATTCACAAAGCTTTGGTCACAGAAGCTGGAAAGGTTTTCAGCTGAGGCTTCACCTGCTTCAATAGTTCTGCTTCTGGTAATGAAACTCAGAATAAAATAAAAAGAACAGGCCACACAGCACTAAGATATCCATCAATCAATACGCATACCTTGTCTGCCTTTGGTCTATTCCAGTCTGTTTGATCTGTCGTTCCAAACTTCAGCAAGTTTCACCAAGTGACAATCTCACTTTTTCTCGGGAAACGGTGAAAAGGTTTTACTGTCCTTCATAATAGTCGTCAGCTCAGGTTCACACTACCTGCCACCATCAGGGGAACATTAGTGTGAGCTTAAAAATTAAGGTCATTTAGCTGAGTGAAAGTTCTGTGGAAAACTAAAAACTCATCTCAAAACTTGTTTAATCATTGATTTCATCCACCAGTGTCTCTGATTTTTTAACATTTGTTGAATGTCAAGTTGAAGGTGTGATACCATTGATGCCAGTTATCTGATGACAGGACTCATATAGTAGCTTTGTGTTGCACCATTTTGTGCAGAAAATTCAATGAATACATTGACTATTTGGAAACAGCTAGCTCCAAGAAATGACACACAATGAGGTTTGTGAAGAAGCAGGTAGGACACAGAGGAGAGGCCTTTAAAAGAATAATGTTATATGAATCTTGCCTGTGTCTGGGTCTGGACCGTCCCCCTAGGGGCCCCAGGGCGAGCATGATCCTTATGGGGCCCCAACATGAGCCAAGAATGTAGACAGAGCCCCTCATTTGTAGAAACTATAGCCCTACATGGCCCTCAGAAACTAGCTTGGAGCCCTGCAGCACTAATGGAGAACACGACAGGGGCTGTACAGTCTGAAGGCCTCATTACAATATTGTTGTAGCCTAAAGCATTTCATACTAGTAGTTAGTTCTTTCTAGGATCCTCTGTGTTTCTGGAAATGTTTCAGGGCCCAGGGCCCTTGTCAGATATAATTTTTCATGCATGTGCATAGAATCCTGTTGAAAACCCTCTGCTAAAAATGTACTGACACAGGAACCTGAAGGGGCTCCTGGTGGCCCAGGATTCCAGGGCTGGGTATGCCCAGTCAGTGCAGACACGAGTATGTGTATTATTAAACTAAAATATGCTCAAAGCAGCTACTGGTAAACAGAGCTAGAGCTAGGGCTAACATTTCCAAAAGAGTCACTTTTACCACAGAAGCTGGACAAAACAATGGAAAAGTAGAGGCTAATTTGGTATTTCAGCCATGTATGAGGAAAATCTATTTATCCAGAAAACAAAATAAGCAGGTATCCAGAGTGAACAGATTTTAAATTACTTCAGCCAAAGCAAACAAGCTCATATTAACCCACACTGATGTTAATCCAACAACCAAAACATCTGAAACTGGTTCCCTAATCCCTTTCCATCAACATGTCAACAGTTATCGTTTAATGAAACCTGGGCGTGGGAACTCTATGGAAAGATGCATCAAAAAGAATTTGTAGATGAACTGTACTTTATGCAAGAGACCCTAGATCCTAGATCTGCCCATTGTGCCATGAGAAAAGAGAGGGCCAAGCAACTTCCTCTGAACTTGCGTCCTTCCATGAACAAACATGCATCCCTGTCATCTCAGTCTCTTTTCTCCTCTGTTTGTTGTATTCTCTCTCTCTCACACACACACACACACATACACACACAAATTACAGAGAGATACACATATTCAATTTGTTTTCATGTCCCATGGGGGCTTTACATGAACTTACATTAGTTTCTGGGAGACTTAAACTAACTATAATTCTTTAATCCCTGTTGCAAAAGGGCTCATGTGGGACCAAAATTAAAACTGACTAAAATGTATTTATATATGGAGGTAAGTAATGAACTAAGCAAGCAGGTCACTTTATCCCTTTGTAGATATACTGTAAATAACATCCAAGTCTCTCTCTTCCAAGTCTTTGCCTTGCCTACTCGTCTCCCTCTGTGCTAGACTTGGGTCAAACCAAAACAGTTTTTACTTTGGTTTGACCCTGTGTGCACTTCAAGAAGGGGGCGCTTTACTGCATCACCATGACACAGATACTGTATTATGGATCAAAAACAAATTGTAAATCACAGAAAAAATCATGATATACGAGGTTTAAAGTTCCTAATATCTCATAATCTGTCTTGCTTGGGAACCCGAGCCATCTGCAGCAACACAAAATCCAGACAGTAGTTCTTCTTTGACAGACTCGTGTGTAAGTATGTAGCCTCTACCATCTCAGCTTCTTCATCACACTGTCACCTCGCCTGCACTGCTCTTCTCTTGCATCTGCATGTTCCTCCTCTGTCTCCTCCCTCTTTCCACCTCACCAAGCCTTTCATACAGCATCTCTGCTGCAATCTCCTTCACTTTTGAAGTGGCGTGACATGCGCGCCGTGTAAACATGGAGTCATTAAGCAGGGGAACACATTTCTTCCTGTGTTAGTGTCAGGCCGACTTGTGAGCTAGTGATCCGACAGGGCCACAGTGACAGATGCTTTATTCTCTGCTGCAAGAGTCGTGATCAGCCAGCTCTGCTTCTGGAGACTAGGAGGCACTCTCCTCCTTCTTTTAACTTAATCAGTGCCGGCCGTCTCAGTGTGCCAACAAAACATGCAGACATATGGAAATAGCAGCATAACAGAAGTAAGTGCCAGATTTAGGTGCCAAATGTTGGAGGGGGCTTTACTTCTCTGGAAGAAGAGTCGGTGTCAGAAGTGTGAAAGAAACAGAATCAGTGATAAGAGCCTAATAACGCCATCACAGCTACATACTGTACATAGCCCTATTCTTACATAGCAGAACTGCTAAGCAAAACCCAATCCAACTTTTACTTATTTTAATACTTGACAACACTGACCAACAAGCAAATCTGTAAATCTGCACTTTAATTAAAGTCTCCTCTGTAGTTTCTGATCATATACACTGCATCCACATGTTTACAGTATCTGAGTTTGAAGTACAGCCAAAAAGCAAGAATTTTGCATTAAACTGAAACAATTCTATTTGAAAACAGAGAAACGTATAGTCCTGATGTCACTCCCACTCACTGCCATGATTCTCACTGAGGGTTGGTTTCATTAGTCTATACAAAAACAAAGTGAAACATGTTGCTGGGATTTACCCTCCCCATTCTGAAAGAAACTGGCATCTTCAACACTATTAGTGGTTTCCAGTACTGTGTCTTTTCCCCTCCCTAGACAAATACAGTGAAGCGCTTGACACATTGTTAAGCAAGGTTATGTTGTAATGCAGGATTTTAAGAAACTTCATTTGTCACAGATTTCAGTGTGGTTTTGAATGTTCTGGAGCAAAAAGGCCATGGTCCAGTTTCACTCTGGCTCTCCATAAGCCTCTGCTAGTGCAACGCTTACAAAAAGTTATGATGTAAAAAGTTTTTAATGGCATCCACTTAGTGTAGTTGTTGACTTTACATTTAAATACCCGTCAACCAATTTGTGAATATTTCCAACCTTGCTGGCTGGAGCTACTCTTGTGTTTTTGTTTTTGATTATATCGTGTCTTTAAGGATAATGTAACAGTGCATAGACACCCATGCACACTCTGTACTGCTGAGTAGCTTCATTTTTCCAGTTTGGTAAGACAACAGTGTGAGTGTGTGTGTGTGTCTCTGTGCATGTGTGTTACGTACCTAAGTACCTATACACGACTGTATCCCATACACTGTGCATCCAGCATTAAATACCTGTGCTGTTCCCCATCTGCTAATCTCTTTGTCTTCCTCTCACTTACACACTTATAAACACACGCCTACTGACCAGTGATCACACAGGAAGAACCCACAGGTGCTGCACACACCTTCCTTCCTCTTCAAACATAAAAAGTCTCCTTATGTAGGCTAAAAAGATCAGTTTAATTTTTCATACAACAATGAACGTGAAAATATATGTGTGCACTTGTGTATGACTATACACTATGGGTTAGGGTTGGGGTTAGAGCTTACGTTGTGATGGTTAAGGCTAGGATAAGGGGCTAGGGGATGCATTATGTCAATGAATCATAGTGTGGATACCCAAACCAAGGCCGAGAAATTATCTTCAGGTCCGTGTCAGGTTTGGATGCATAGGTCAAACTTTAGGCTTGACAGCTGGAACGCTCAAATGTCTGTTTTGTTTAATGATAAGGAAAAACACACCATACAACCTCAACTGCACTGGGCTCAGGTTGAGTTCAAACAAAAATATGTGGACCGATCCATGCTCTACAATGAGCGCCTTCACAGCTATAGTAAGACATGACTGTGCGTGCGCGTGTGTGTGTGTGTGTGTGTGTATCTGACCGTCACCCCACCTTAAAGCTGAACAGTGTTAGGGAACAGTGTGGTTCCTCAAGTCTGCCAGACACAGACACATACATACGATAGGCGGTGCAGCGTGGCAGCAGCAGTGTGAGACTCTACCGAGGCCTGGGGTGACATTAGTGAGTATTCAGTGCTTAACGTGGCTTCTTGGCTCCTCATACCTTGCCACACACACACTGACACACAACTATGAGTCATTATACCAGATAGAAACCTTACTCTGTTTCCTGTCCTAAAACAAAAGAATCAGTCTTTATCCTGACTGTTCACCTGTGGAACATCGAGCAAAAACAAAAAAAACCATGTCTGCCTGCCTTCGGTCTGTTGTTCTGTGTCTCTCTCCTGCCTCTGCCTTCTGCTCTCTCTATCACTCTCTCTCATAAACGTACATATAAACAAAAACATTAACCGAAAAATTGGATCTGATGAGAAAAAGCTCTCTACTCAGCAGACCAAATCCCAGAGGTGCTGTTACATCTTTCCACTTCCTACAGTGAGCGGCAGAGCTACACTCCTGTTCCTTAACACCCGCTCGCTGCCTCGTCACTCTAATCACAGCGAGAGAAGTACAGGCAAAAACGCCTGGAGCCATGCAGTGTGTATGTGCCCCCACCCACACACACACACACACACACACACACACACACTGTGAAAACACCCACCCACAGAATTACACACACACACATAAACACTCATTTGTGTGTGAGTGTCTATGCAGATAGTGGAGGGCGGGGGAGTATAGGCGGATCAGTGGAGCAGCTCATTGTCAGAGAAGTAAGAGGAGAGGTGGCACGCTGCTGTGAGAGTGTGTGTGTGTGTGTTAATATGTGCGTTTACCTGTTTAGTCATGGAGTCTATGAGTCGAACATAAAAGTCCTGCTCTGTTCTGATGCCTGTGGGATGCAGCAGAGAGAGAAAATCATCAGTTTTACATACATGTTAACAAGCAGAACAACATACAAAACTGCATTAAAAAATATGTTAAATTAGGTCAACGTTAAAAGTGAGTCTATGGGACAAATGGACGAGCTTAAATATCCTTGCATTACACAAGAGGAGACATGAGAGGGAAGTAGGAAAAACCTTAATGCAACAAAATCTCCAATATTTTTCAGACTTTTTCCTACTTTTTGCTTTTTTTGTGAAATTTTATTTTGATAGGCCTAAAAATAATTGTCAAGTAAAACAATACTTTGGTTGAGCTGCTCACACATGCAACATGAGACACAGTAGCTCTATTGTAAGGGGCCACAAACCAAAAAGGCTGGGAACAACTGGAGACACCTTTGCTGTTCAACAGTTCACACCGTGAAAATAAATGTTACTCAACCTCCGTGTTTCTTTTTAGTGTATTACCAAATTTGTTTTATTTATATAACTCCAAAATCACAATTTGCAAACCATACATCCTCCATCCTTCGACCCTGGACTCTCATTTCCAGCTTTCATGATATGAAAACTGTATGCATATTATGCTTCATAATGATCTAACATCTTTATAGGCACATAAATGGTGCAACATATATGCAATGTCAATTTCCACACACAAAAGATATTAAAATCAATGATCACAAATTGCACAGTGGGCTTTATGCCCATGTTATAATCCCAGTGGAGGCTCAATATTCCTGCCAGCTGATGCTGTTTCCCTCACAGCTGATAGGCCAGAACACCACCATCACAACAACATGCAACTGGCAGCTCAAACTGTCACACAGCTCACTTCAGGCTGGACAAACTCATTTAGGGAGGGTGACAGTGATAAAGCCACACAGCAGGTACTAATTTCCTGCAGCAGCTGCTCTGAGAGTGTAGTAAAATTTACCCAGAAATTAAAAATTACATCGCAGTTCCTGAAAAAAAAAGTTCTGGCAGCCTGGTACCTTGATGCACATTTGTCCACGTTCAGGTTAAAATATACCAGCTGATTCCTGTGTGCATATTACTGTAGGAGAAAACAGGCTTTCCATCTGATTTGACCAAATGTACTAAGTGTATGAGTGTGTGTCACTCACCGTTACTGTAAAGAAGCTGCAGCCTGTAATGAATCCCGTTATTGGTCTTCTCTCCGCTTGTCTCCTTAACACACACACACACACACACAACAAACACTGAGCTGTTTATTGAAATTTTAGGACAAAGTTTTGTATAAAAAAATGCCCCCGTCTACAGATGTAGCCAGGCCTCCATGTTAGTGAACTCTTCACGCAGGCGTTACATTAAATAAATGTGTGGTTTATGTTCACGGCCATATTAAGCAGGGCAGCTCTGTAATTTCCCCATGGCGTTATTGTGGCTTTTTAATTCCTCTGCAATTACTGCTTATGTTTGGAGGGCAAACACATCCAACACTAAATTCTCCCATTACATTTGATCTAATTGAAATGGTGGCATAACTGATGAGGAGAGCGCTCGGCCTGCACAGGAGCTGGAGACTGGAACAATTTAAGCGCCCAGAGGTTTTCTTATTTGTCAGCTGAGCAACTGAACTGAAAGAGGTTTTGAGTTACAGTCCGCGTTGTAGTGTGTTCTCTTATGCTCAGCTATAATAAATTATACAATAATAATAATTTAGTTGATAAATTCAGTCATTATAAATGTTTCAAATATGACCAACACTGACATCAGTAATATCAGACACCACAATGGAATAATCAGGCCTTCCGAAAATAAAAATTGTATTATATTATTCTCTTCCTGAACATTTCTGCACCGACCTTCTCTTTCTCGATGAAGTCCACGAAGTTGGTCCTCTCGATCTCCACCGGCTGACCCTGTCGGTCGTACAGAGCCAGGACGAAGTGGAAGAAGTTGGACTTCCGCAGGTTGGAGGGCGGCTGTTTCTCAAAGTGTGCGCGAGCCAGACCCACTCCACTGTGGACACACAGGCGTGGGCGAGTCGGTGTTAGGACGGGGAAGAGGCTTTAAAGTTGAACTGTGCAGTAAATAAATATGAGGGCTCTATAACCAGCTAGAGAAAATTCAATCCGTGCACATTTTTAATTTGCTCGACTTGAACATTTTGAGGCTGCAATCAAAGCCATGATTTTCAAGACAGGCGGTTTTACTAAAAACTTTCTCAAATTGACGACTTTATGAAATTGTAAGCAAATATATTTATGCTTCAGGATAATCTGTGACAGGAGGTCACGATTATTTCACCTTTACATTACAGATTCTGTGGGCCAAGAGGGGAATTGTGTTCCCCATGAATGTGACTTTGTCAAGAAAAGACAAGATGGACAGGATGTTTTTCCAGTTTAAAGCCCAAGCAGTGGATTCATTTATTTATTTTCCCCTTTGGATTCATGCTCGTTAAACCTCAAACCAACTAAAGCAGAACCCATGTTGCATGTGCGTAAAAATCTAGCACAAATACACGTGTTGCCATTAACTTCACTATGCTGTCTTAAAATGATAGAGGTTAAACAATACGATGTAGAAATATTCTGCATAAGAATCTTAATTTCCCAAATTATCTTAGGTGCAGTTGAAATCCAAATTCCTTCTTCCGAGCAGCACCGTCGCTCGTTTCTCCCCATCACAGCCTCGTGCACCGCACAGGCTCCGGAGCCTCATACAAACAAAACCAAGATTTTTCCATCGCTTGGGAAGTGTCTCCTCCACACGAGCAGAGCTCACCTTTGGGCGGCCGTGTTGGCATCCAGCACGCCGCCCCCCTGCATCCAGCTCCGCTTCTCTGGATGCTCTCCTGGATCGCAAACATGAACAAATCTCCGAAGCTTGGTGTCTGTCCTTCCGTTTCTTGGTCTCTCTCCGCCTCACCGTGCACTTGTTCTCCTGTAGATCTTTCACTCTGATTTCGGAAGAGTAACGTGAGTGCGCTCGTTGCTGCTGAGTGCGCTTCGCTAGAAATCAAGTCACGGACTCTTTATTCCTCTAGTTGTAATCCTGAGGAGTGAGTGGGCGCTAAAACGGAGGAGAGACTATATCAGATAGCAGAATCCAAAATGTGCAATCACTTAAAAAACGAATTTGAATCGGTGAAGGACGGCAGGACGCTGACTGACCCAGTGTGGAAAGATGTTTATGAAGTCAGTCACTGGTGCGCTTGGAGATCCACAGTTCAAGCTCTCAGAGAGAAAAGAGAGATCGACTGGCACACAGATCAGATGTCATCATTATCTGACACCTCTTTCTTTCTCTTTCCGCTCTGTACTTTCTCTTCTTCTCCCTCGGCCCACTGGTCCGGGACGAGGGTTGTGCTCCAGAGCTGCGCTGCTTCCTGCGGATGGCTCCCGAGCTCTCGCCACTCCGCGCTCTCTCCGAGGAAAACGCTTTGTGAGTCTTCCCAAAGGACTGGCTCTGAGAACCAAACACGGGCTTCTCCTGTCCCGTGGGGAGAGAGAGAGAGAGAGCTAGGGTGGGAGGAGAAAGAGAGGAGGGAAACGGAGGGGAGGGGACAGGACGGGAGGAGAGGAGACGCCCCCAAACAAAAGCAGGAGCGGAGTCAGGTCCGCCCCATGAGACGACCACGGAGCCCTTCTCCTCTCCTCTGTCTGCCCTTCTCTGCCCGGGTACCCACTCTGTCCGCGTTTAAGGGATTTTGCAAAAATGTTCCGAAGCAAAACGCTGCTCTGTGATTGTGGAAATTAATTCGTGTGCCCATAATAGCACTGAAACAGCACCGGGAAAGTTTTTCTGCCTTTGCAGAGCTGCAGGGTGGCGAATATGATCCTGGAACAAGTTGCTCAGAGGTTTTTCCGAGAGGTGGCCGTTTCTCGGCTGCAGGACAATCCCGACTTAGTCATCTCGAACACCGACTTTTACGCACAAAAAGCAGCAGGTTATGACGAAAGGACAAAAAGACACTTCTGAATTTTGGTAGCATTTGTTTTAACCTTTTATTAATTCCTTTTATGGAATTAATAATTGCTTATTTCAAAATGTTGTCAATAAAACACTTTTTTTTTCACAGCAAAAAATAAATAAATAACCAAATTAATTCTGTCTCAGGTTTCACTGTCTCCAAAAACCTGCAATTTACAGAGGAGAAAAACAACAGATATGTTCTTTGAGCCTATTACACTTGTTTTAACTGCAGACATTTGGTGAATCTGATATGAAACCTCAGCCTGTACATTTAGATCTACGTCTCATTTAGATTACGCACAATTATAAAAGCCGTGTCTCATCGTCACAACACATCCATGTCCCCTATTGTGTCCCGTAGGCCTGCGTATTGAAGGCTAGCGCCGCAAGACACACAAACAAAAATGACAATAACAATAATTAGCTCAAAATAACAATGAACATAATTGAGGATAATTGCTACCAGATTTCAGTGCTTTGTTTCTCCCTCACGCACCATCTGTTATTTGAAACTATTTATCTCCTCGCTGAGAGGGAATCCAAACAAAATACAAATATTAATAAATAGCCTAATTCCGTGAACTGTTTTAAATATGAAGCTCCAGCGTATTGATCTGTCCAGGGCCAAAATGTCAACAACTTTTGTATTATTCATCTGGCTGTGAAAATGATTGGCAGGGCGAACTGGCGCCATTCCAGGCTTTAATTCCCAAAGGTTTTTGAAAAACGCTCTTGACCTTGATTATGGAGAGTAAGAGTCTTTTATACTCCAGTTTCCTGCTTATAGAGAAGGCGAGGCAGTGGCGGATCAACCCGTTTAGGATTTAGACAAGTTCACAGCTGAGAATTAAAAAAAAAACTATGTGAATGGGTGAGTGTTGAGATGCTCTTATCGACCGGGGTGGGCTAAAAGCATGTGTGGTCGTTCACAATTCTTAAATAAGAGAGTCACATCAGCATGACAGCTCATATATATATATAGCTCTAAATTAAAATATAAGATTTAATGAAATGAAAATGCACAGGGGTCGGTTATCTTGCAAAAATAAAAGTATATGGTTTTAGAGTTACTCAAAAAATCCGATCTATCCGCCGAATCAGTCAGAATGGATGTTACTGATAAGTGAACACTATGGAGTTTATTTTTATTTTCAGTCAAAAAGGTCAAACTCAGCAGTGAACACTAGAAATGTATCAACATTAATTTTCATTTTCTAGGCTATAAGTTATTAAAAGGTAAAGCTGAATTGAGCATTACAGGTAATAATGTGATTAAACTGATGGTTTCATGTTAAAACTGACACAAAAGAACATTAGGAGAGAGAAATACACGAGGAGGCGTTTGAGGAACAGGAACAACGAGGGAGAAAGGAAAGGAAAGGAAAAATTATATCTCAGATAAAAAAATACCCCGTGACTCCCCACAGCACCCTGTTTGACAGGGTCTATGTTCCCCCTGTCCACCGGCAGTTTGTCTCCTGGAAGAGGACCACAGTAGAAAAACAACACAACAGCGCCATCGCGTGTCTAACTCGAGTACCTGCACAAATATGGATGCATTAGTCCCTTTTTTTAAACCCTGTCATCCTTCATCTCATCTTTTCCGTCCAGGCTGACAGAGAAACGGACACTTTAGCGGTATAGTTCCTTAGCGTCCTACCATTCCTCTTTGTTTGGCACCTTCACTCCATTTTTAAACGATTAAATAAAGTAGTTGCTTGCAAGATTTGTGCCTGAGTCACTGACTGAACCAGACTGTCAGTAACAAACTAACAATTACTAAGTAACTCAGCCTATATAGCCTAGCTTAACTGGCTCTCAACCCATTTTCATTTGAGGCTATTTCTGCATTTAGGTCTGGGAATAATGTTACACTGGAAATATAAAGAACTCCGGTGAATAAGTCACTTACCAATGCCTGTTCTGATTAAACTGGAGCGTTGATGAGCATTTTAAAAATGGCGCCAACACCGTGTGCACCTTGAAGGCCAGGTGAGCACCGCTGCTCCCTTGTCCACACCGGAGGCGTTCAGGGACCATGGTGAGTGTAGGTCACCCGTGTTTGGAAGACAGCCGCTTCAAAAATACCACTGGCAAAACTAGGGCAATTATTTCTTCGACTTTAGTGTGAGACAGTTGCTACTGTTTATTCATGTTCATTTTGATAACATAACTCTAATTATTTAATATTAACAGGCTATTCAAATATTTATGTGAATGTGGGTAAATTCTCCTTCCACTTAATGTATATGGTGTAAAAGTGTGCCAAAGCATGAACACATGCCAATAATTTCCTTGTTTTAATGGCATATTTGACACTTAGATTCAAGACCTGCTATTATAAGACTGATTTCCACTTCTACAAAAGTGCTACACTACCTCACTATTACATGTACATATAATTGCATAATTGCTAAATACTAGTGTCACAATAACAGGGTATATACAGCAATCCTTAAGTTAAATTTAATACCTTTTAATACTGATTCTTTTGGGAGTCTCAGCCTGAGCAGCCCTGACCATGATCAGGCATTTTGAGGTAAATGTCAACACATCAGTAAGTCAGAGGCAACAGCCTTGCACAGCAGTGCCAACTCCGTTAAAAATGTTAATGTGGGCAGAGCGCTCCGTGGCAGCTATGGATTCCATTACCATACTTACTTACATTTTCAATGTAGCAGAATAATGGCTTTGCAAAGGATTTCAGATATGAGACTGACTTCTGAGAATTTAGTCTTATTCCTCTCTCTCGGCTACTCCACCAAAATCAAAGAAGAAATTTTAAAATTAAAAACAACAATAATATGTCAATACTAGAAAATGCACAAATTAGGACAGTTTTTTGTAATGTTACTAACAGTAACAGTCAAGAGGAGTAAATAAAATACTTCAACTCACATTTATATCAACTGATGGCAAATATACGGTTTCACAATGTTAACCCAATCTTTTGACAGTAGAAGGAGCAGCAGTGAAGGGATGTTGTGTTTGTTTGGCACATTAGCTCCCAGACAAATGCCATGAACAGCCACTGATGCTTCTTACAGCAAGTTTTTCCGACTACTAAAATCTCAGTGATGTGCTGAGCACACAAAAATGCAGTGAAAGATTCTAAATACTGAATCTCCATAAGCCTTTGAGAGTTGTCAGATAAATAGGTTATACAGCCAAATAGTTCAGATGACCTCCTAGACAGCATTCAAAAAACATCATAGTTCGTAGGCTGAACAGAGACTGCAAGAACAATTTTCCAACATGTTGTATAAACTAAGTATATGCATCTGGAATCAATAGCTGACAGGCTTCTCGGCCCATTATTATTTACTACTGCAGTGCAAATTTACATACAGTTGCCAATGACTGCTTTCACCTTGTGGAGCATTAAAACTTTTATTGTGCAGTTGATCCGTATGACACATTCAAATGCTACACAATGAAAACCGAATATGTATGAAACCATTTCAAGTGCTTTGTTTAAATCAAAGTCTAAGGAATGGAGCAGATAGTGAAATGAAAAAGGCCTTATGTTCATCTGTCAGAGAAACATGTGCAAAATACATCAAAATTTACATTTCATCTCTAAAAAAAACTATTTAACAGCGTTGGCCAGGTTTGATCCTACATTGTTCATGTATTCATTCTCAGCCCTGCAGCCAACGCTTTGCAATATCGAGAATGAAGTCATTCATAGTAATAAAACCTTTAGCTATAGTGGTTAATACTGCTGAGTTAAACTAGTGCCATCTCCTGTCCTTCTGCGCCAAGCTGATCCCACTCCTAACAGTAGAGGGCACTGGAGTGATCACGCCAGCCTGAGGACACATCATGCAGACAAGAGTAGCAAACACTGGCTGGTTTCACAGATCAGAAGGCTTTGTTTTCCGAAAGCTTCTTAGCTAAAGTCTGCCTTTGCTCACAAGTGTGTCAAATAACAGAATCTCAATCTGCTAGGCTGCTTTGGAGAACTCGAGCCCTGATCTTGTTTATATGTCAACACCCCTCTGGTTTAACATAGGTACTATACAGAGCAACATTTCTATACACTACACACACAGAGACTGGGCTGTTTCCTCATTCACAGACACAGAGGGTATTTGGTTGCTGACAGCCACAGAACAGCTTTGGAGCATTGCTAGTATAAATGGCATTAGTGCAAATGCAACTCACAGAAGAAAAAAAGATGAAAGGCGCAGTAAGATGGCAGACAACATTTTTAGCAAGATTAGAGAACATGTCAACAGTGGCAGCGTGCAAGCTCTACATACAAGCATGCATCAGGGACTCAGCATTCTTGGGTTTAACACATTCCTCACAGCCCTGCTCTTTTTACTAAGTGCAAGCTGACTCTGTGTGTGTGTGTGTGTGTGCGGGGTGTTTGTGTTGGTGTGTGTGCATGCACACGCACAGTAGCATGGGGGGGGGGTTTGTTCAGCTATCAAACACCTCAGTTTGCTGGCAGTAACATTTCATGGGGTGAAGTGACTGAACAGCAGGAAAATAATGGTGGTCTTAAAAAAAAACACAGGGTGCTTTGATGAAATTAAATGGATGGAGGTGATCGACTCCTGCCATGAAAGAGTCTCAACAATCACTGGAGCAATGTAAAACCTGGGTATATCTCCACTCCACATTTTCACAATGGGGAAGGTGGCCTCTGTTACATCTTCTACCTCCTGTCTTTCTCTTCCTTATTTTCGGCCTATGTGCACCGCATGCTTACCAATTAAACAGTAATGTAAAAATGGCCTTAAAAATAACATCTCTTTAGCACGAATACAAAAACTTGGCAATGACAAGTACAACTGTTTTTTTGCTGGGACCAGCCAAACAAGTCTGAGTCAGATGTTGAAGGCTTGACACATGAAATGAATCAGAGTTAGTCCATATGATTTGCCCACACTGCAACACTTGACTAGACCACATCATGTTCATCTGCTTAGCACCAGGCATCAAGTCATGTGATGGTCTTAGGAAGCAACATTCAGTCTGTTAATGCTTAGTATTCACTAATACACGTAAGTGTCACCCAACAGTGACAACTTAAAAACCATCTAAATTGTCAACTTTAAGAAATGTTAAGACTTTGTCACTATTTCAAATGCAACCATCAGTTACTGAGTCTATCAAGGCTCTCGGAGCCTCTGACTAATTCCTTATGAGATCATGGCACATACAGGACTACAGAGAATGCACAGCAATGAGAGTGGAGCTGCACAAACAATGGCAGGATGGGAGCAACCATCACATGAAATGTCTGGGATTGAAATGAGAAGGACAAAAGCATGTTGTGGAAATGTCACCGTGTCTCATATCACACAAAACATGTAGAGAAACAGCAAAAACCTGTGATGTGAGACTTCAGTTTCATTCAGGAGTTTACATATTTTGGACATGATATAGAACTCCCAGTTATTTTTGAAATGAGATTATGGTTTTCCTCTTTTTGTGTTTAGTCTGAATCCCCCCTCAAAAAAGGGACATGGAAAAGTTATGCCCACCCTGATGAAATCATTGCTGGCATGAGTTAAACATTCAGATTAACTGTTCCTCCTGTTTCTTAATGATGAATATCTGCTTAAAGACTTCTGGATTTTTCTCTCAAAATGTATATGAAGGAATTTAGCCAACTGCCGGACGAGTAGAATATTGAGAGATGGAGTATATAAAGTATTTATATGTGCATGCATGTCATGCGTGTTACGATGGGGCTCAGAGGCTGAATGGAAGAGGAGGCTGTTCCTCAGAATGAGAAGTGGGCTTGTCAGGCTGTGATGATGAGCCAGTAGATGACTCCTGGATGTCCAGTGGCAATGCTGGGGCAGGATCACACTCAGCAGGGGTCATCTCTCCCTGGCCCATTTGTTCTGAGGACGAGTGGCAAGAGATGAAGGGGGTGGGGCTGTGTGAGAGAGATGGAGACGAGGGCAATATGTCCACCCTGTCAGATGAAGAGGAATAATCTGTGGGGGACTGGTTCCGCAGAAAACTAGATGATGATGATGACGATGATGGAGTTTTGACAAGGTGCTGGGGAGCAGAGGGCACCACAGAGGAGGTTGAAGCATCTCCAGCTGACATGGTAGGCCCATTATCTCGTTCTTGCTCTCCTTTTCCCTCCTCCTTTCTATCATCTGGAGGTGCACCATCTTTCTGCTTCTTCTCAGCTGTGCCTTCTTCCTGCACTGGCGGGCTCTGATTGGCTGCAGGAGTGTCCTGGTTGGGGGTGGCAGTTTGACTCTTGAGTTGTGAGTGGCAGAGAGGACATGACTCCTGGACATAAAGCCATTTCTTCAGACAGCCAGCATGGAAGAAATGACTGCATGGAGTGATCACAGCGCTGGTCATGTCCTGGAAGAAATGTGTACAAAAACACAAACACATGCAGGTTGTGTTAGTAAGTTTCCTTCGACATTGCATTTATTTCAAAACCACTTCTGTCAATACTGGCAACTGTGAAACCAAATTTTACATTAACTTTACCTATGGCTGCCCCCTAATAGTTGAGACTTGTCAGTCGGCTGCAACTCTTTTAGTTAAACCTTTGTTTTTATTTTATTTATTGTCAGTCTGCATTACAACAGAACCTAGCCCCAGCCTGGTAGTTTATCATGTTCTTCTCCTCATTTTGGTGTACTGAGCAGCAATTTGCTCAGTGCTTCCCCCTGTGGTCTGGAGGGGGGTAGAATACGCACTTCAAGGGTGACACTGTGACAGGGATGGGCAATGATTTTCAAATCATCAAATAAAATTTAAGGCAAAAAAAAAAAACTTTCACATGACTATGGTTTGGTCTTTAAAAACACAGAGCCACTGTTTTCCCTTGCTTTTACCAGCACCTGGAGGTAGCTTGATATTGAGGAGTGCATTTCATTTTACTGACTGATTCTACAACATGCATCCGTCCGAACGAGTCTAGGAAGCTAACAAAAGTGCACAGGGTAAATATTTCATTGAAGAATTATCATTAAGAGGAATCGTTTGCAGTGCAAACTGGCACACATCAAGCGCACAGTAACACCATGTGCTGTGGTTATAACTGTTGGGAGAAGATTAAACTTGTTGGTAAACTTTGCTTTAACCATGTCTCATAGGAAAAAACTGCCTATAAGAGTATTGTTTCAGCAGTACAAGTGTGCTGCCTGTCTCGTTATTCTGACAAATCCATATGGCAACCCAACATTGTATATTGTCAGTTTAAATAGGTCACAATTTAAATATTGCATCATATGCATCTGTCTTTTATAGATTTTTAAATTCTCAGAAATAAGTTCCTGTCATTCTTTTACATTTAATACCAATGTTAATGTGGAATCATCAATGAAATCCATGCCTGTTTTTATATATTTTTCAAAAAAGAAAAAGAACAAATAGCTGAACTGAAGAGCCTGCCGTCTCTGGTAGGCTAGTGGTTAAGGGTTCGAATTAGGGTTGCGTCGTGCCAAATGTCAACATGCAAGTCGTCAGTGTGACGATTCGCTGTGTCGACCCCTAAACGGGAAAAGCCAAAAGTGACTTTCGTAGTTGAACTGAAGAGCCGACTGACAAAATCCTTAAGTCAGGTACAGGCCTGGCTTTAACTTGGACCCTGAAATCAATTGTTGGTCATGTGCTCTATTTAGACAAACACAAACCAGCCCACACCTGGTAGCAGATAGCACAGATGTCGTTGTACTGTTGCAGCTGTGAGTCACTGGCCGTGGGGAGACTTTTGATCTTGTTTACAGCATCTCTCCTGAGAAGGAAGCTCTGCCAGCCCAGCTGGGCTCTGAGCCAGACATTATAATAGGAGTGCACCAGGATGATGGTGCTGCCCATCACACTCCACTCCCCAAACACCGTCTCTGACACACCGTAGCACACCACACACACCGCAACCTGGGAGAGAAATCAGTGACTATGAGGTACAAATAGTGACAGCATGTTGTATGACATCGACTTTATCTCATGCCACCTTCTCACTTGTGTTTTCTCAAGATACTAACATCATGGTCAAAAGTACTGGCACCCCTGTATTTCTGTCAGTCAACACACCACTTCTTCCAGAAAACTGTAGCAATTACAAATTCCTTGGTATTCTCGTGTTTATTTCTTTTGTTTGCATTGGAACAACACAAAAGTCAAGAAAAAAACTAAATCTGATGCAGGGGTGCCAATACTTTTGGCCATGACTGAATATACTCGGTGTGTTTAAACACTTACCAGGAATTCCAGCAATCGATAGGTCCCATTGACACAGTAGATAACCTCATCCATGTTTTCTACTGGAGCCTTGCGAAACTCCTCCACCATGAAAAGAACATAGATCAGCAGAGTGCCGAGAACCTGGGAGAGATGGAGGACAGTTTTTTCATGTTATGCCATTCAATAATTAATCACAAAATGTAAATGTCAAAAGTATGATTTTGTATAGGCTTCGCCCTCTGAGCGCTGTTACTACTGCCGGTCACTGGGCATAGTTAAGCCTGTATCGCAGCTTGGGCAGACAGTGACAGCAGCACAACACTGGAGTTTAGTGCTCATTTTGATAGCAATCTCTCTGTAGACTGACCATAAAGCACTGAAGAAAAAGAGGGAGCAGAGCTTAGGTCACGCAAGCATTTATACAGTCAGAGCGGACATGAGTGGAGTCAGCCCCTGTACAGGGTACAGGACACGAAAGAAGTCTCTTCATAACTGCATATGTACGAGGGGATAAACCCAGTAGCATTTTGCTACACGCATCTGATGAAGAAGAAGAATCCTCTTTATTGTCATTGTAATGCGTACATCAAAATTTTGTTTGGAGCCGAGGGCCCCGGGCCACTGCGTGCATATGCGCCGCCCTCACGGGCAACTCGGGGGTACAGTGTCTTGCCCAAGGACACTTCGATATGTGGACTGCAGGCACCGCGATTTGAACCTCCAACCTTCAAGGTGGGAGACGACTGCTACTGCACCACTGTCGCCCCGAGCGATCAAGGTATTTGCTATTTTTCAAGGCAACACCTGCCTTTAGATGTTACTGTAAAACAAGCATGTGGTAGTTTTTGAGCTTTAATTGTGTTATTAAAATGCTAAATGACAGCGTTTACAGTAATTTGTTCAAGTCTTATTCCAGGATGCACGTAAAAAAAAAAAAAAAAAATTTAGAAATTATGGTGATAAAACAAAATGTATGGTGTATTTAACTTCTGTGTACCACAACAGTGACAGCTCTTAGAGGACTACATCTATACTCTCAGAAGCTTGGGTTACAGTACACAACCATCTATCCTTATATTATGGCAGAGTAGAAAAGAGTTTTACACACCACATTTCTTTTATGTCTCTACAAATAAAGAGTAACTACACACATTGTGATTTAATGTTATAAACCAAAGAAAAAGAAGTGAGCTGCTATGTGCTAGTGTGTTACCTGCAGTGAGGTAAGGATGGAGGAGGATATGATGATTAGAAGCCAGAAGTCCATGTGGAAGAACTGACAGATCATGTAGGCCATATATGCTGGAAAGATGAGCAGGAAAAGACACAGAGACACCGCTCGGAAATGCTTCCACAGACTCCTGCAAGGTCAGACAAAGGAGGAAGTAAAAGAGAAGATCAGTTTTAAGCTTCATCTGTGCCAGCACCGGCATTTTGCTACACACATTTGATGAAAAAGAAGAAGAATCATCATCATTGTAATGCTAAATCACACAGAGTTTACAGTAATCTGTTCAAGTCTTATTCCAGGATGCAAGTAAAAATGATCGTGATAAAACAAGATGTATGGTGTATTTATCTTACTTGTCTCTGGATGCTCCCAGGGCCAAGACTATGGGGTCTGCTATCTCCAGCATGGACTGCAGGATGGAAGCAACAACAATGAAGAGAATGATGGAGAGGAGGAAGGCTCGGTGGATGACCTGCAGCTCGATGAGGCCAGTCTGCACAGCTAGGATCAGCAGGGTGATGCCTTCCGTCATTCCCCTGCCCAGACAGACAAAAAGGCAAACACCAGAGTGATTGAAGGTACAAACACAAACTAACAGACACCCTCAATGACCCCACAAACACACACATAAACATATACAGTAACTGACCTGTGCATGGTGTTGTCATTCATAAAGGCTCTGTAGCCTTGCAGGTAGAACTTGCAGAGTGTGAGAACTCCCAGAGCAATGAAGGAGACAGTGAAAACCAGACCCAACAAGGAGTAGGGTGTACTACAACATTCTGCAACACTGAGAACAGGGAGTGAGAAGAGAGAACATGAGACTTTTTTCCTCACAGCATTCTTGATCAAGTAAGAAATGTACTAATATTTATGGTCACTTCAAATGAGTGACATCATCATTTCCCTTTTCCCACATACCATATCACATATCTGGTAGTTAAGATTATCATGCTTACACCTATGTTTTGAACAGGGCACATGTCACACAAAATATGCAGGGAAATATACTGTATGTCATATAGAAAACATAAAAGCCAGTGTTCTCTATATGCCAGTCTAACTAGTGGTGCAATGGACTTACCTGGTAAGAAATAGGAAAAGGAGCCTCTCCCTTGAGGTAGGCTGGTCTCTGGTGCTGAAGTAGGAGTAGATCTGCAAACCAAACAGCAGCAGCCAGAAACACATGAAGAGAACCGGGAGAACGAGCTGGTTCCATAGAGACATACCCAAAGCTAGCAGTCCATACACTTCCACCACCTGGAGACATGTAGGTAATTGGGACACAGACAGAACACCATCAATATTACATGTGAGGAAATCTCTCTGGACTGCTATAGCTGAACTCCTGTGATAAAAACTGAAAAAGCCTGCAACATTAGACCACAGTGATAGTGCATTACCTGAGCCAGCTCCCTGTATGCAGTCTTAGCCAGGTTATATGGTACCAGTAAGTTAGAAGCCAGGAAGTACATGACCTCCAGGCCTGTGAAGATCATGGAGAACTTATTGATGAAGACAATAGTTTCCAGTGGGACCAGACACAGTCTGGCCACTAGAGGGAGGAGGTGAGCTGAGAAAAGCCAAATCCTCTTGGTCTGCATCACGCAGGAACATAATGTGCACACCACCAGCTGACCTGAAAGAAGTTGCATGTAAACGAACACACAAACATAGATGTGCACATATGAATATGCATGGATACACACACTTGTCAATGTGATTTTAGAATTGCTTCTGCTGATGTAGAGTTTTTAATTTTGGGTTTCTGATTAATAGACCACAAGAAAGCACCTCCCAATGTGGTGTTAATATGCAGTTTCATCTCCACCCTCTTTCTACAGCAGTATAGATTTGACACTGTAACCATGTTATTTTTTGCTCTCTCAGCTTTTCAGTGTGCAGTAAAATCAGCACTCAGTATGGTCTATTTATAGCACAGGAGACTCCACAGCTACTATTTAACAAGATGAAACCAGGTCCTGTAGAGCCAGAAACATAGCTACATTTTATGTTTCAAACAGACCAACTTTCACATTACTAGGAGTAGGTTCTGATACAGCCAAGTAATACTCCATTAAACTCCTACAGATGCCAATGTTATCTGAACATCTTGTCAACGTAAAGAGGTACAGACAAGTTACACAGCAGGAGAAACAGAATCTACACTATTCATTTTCCACACTTTCAAGACACATGAGCATCCATAAAGAAGAGGGAAGAGAGATATCAAATTGAAAGAGAAGAGCTCATAAAAGAACTGATGAAATCAATCTTCCTGACTATTCATACTTCTTCATGTATATGATACATGTACAACTTCATGCGCTCATGTGCAATATCATACCTATCAATGCAGTGGTAAATCTGTTCATGGAAAGAGGTTCCAGGTAGACAGGTCCTTCATTGCCAGACTCCAGTTCACTACGGACATAATCCCTAACAAAGAAAAGTCATACTGCTTAGTTTGTGGTGATCACCCACTTCATTCAGAACCTCCCCATCCATCTTGTGAAATTACAGTTATGTGCTCAGCCAGGTCACTCAGGCTTGTGCTGCACCCTCACTGCTGGAAATCTAATGTGACTTACTGCATACCACTGAACAGAAAATGTCTAGCCCTTTACATATATTTAGAGAACTTTCACCATTTCTAGGAGCCTGTGGTATCATTAATCTTCTCCATCAAGTTGTGTTTGGGCTCATTCACAAGAGTTTGCTGTTAGCTTAACAAGCTCTGTATGTTTGTTCTTTTTTTTTTTAAACACACAGGCTGGGGATTAGGAGGGGACAACAAGTTGACTGTGGGGGGAAGTGGTGAGGTAAAGAGGCCAAGATACCCATTAAAATGCAGTACCACCGCCCTGGCCGACAGCACAGCATCAAACGTTGACTTAAATTTCATTATTAAAACAATATCAATAATTAAATTTTGTTCCTACCTTGAGACTTGGTGACCAGCAAACAGCAGAAGGGCTGTGACGACATACAGGTAGAGTTTAACCAGGTGCTGACGAGGCAGAGTCAGGAGCACTAAGCTCAGAATGTAACCTGCAAGACAGTCACGCATGCAAAAGCACATAAACAACCAGTATGACACAACAGCATAAAGAAAAAGGGGAAATACACACTATATAAAACTATCTTTAACAGCACTTCACACCCACAAATTCAAAAAGCTGGGACAGCAAAGGCTGTATTCACTGTGAATGAGAGCTGGCTTTCTAGGCCAGATCCTCCGCTAAGCTCAACAGACCCAAAAAGGATCCAGCTACACTGCAGGGAAAAGTGAAGAAAGGCTCAATCTTATGCAAGACCTTAATCACAAGAGGCCACATACTGCCAGCTTCTTTGTATCTGTGAACACATCGTGATGCTTCCTGTTTGCAGATAATACATTCCTTTCAATCACAAAAGTGATATACTAAATGTGTATGTTTGTGACAGATGTTTCTTACATAACTGCAGGGAGCAATTTTTGAGTCAACCACTCACTGTAGCCAATAGGTTTGTCATACATTAATCCACTACTTAAAGCCAAATCCAAAAATCTCATTGCATAGCAACAGTTATTGATTTTACTGCCTCTCTCCCTCCTTATTCTGTCTGTCCACCCACAGCACTCATCAGCACATACCAAGCCCATTGCCTCACTGACCAAATGCAGCCAAGTCCTGCAGAACATAAGCACAGACAAAAAAAAACTCAATATTGTACTTGCTTGTTTTGTTTTACCTATCACAAATCACAGTCTGACCATTACTGGTACTCTCTTTCAGTACTTTTGTGTCACCTGACTGGCTCCCCGTGCTGCACAGACTTTGTTTTAGGTTTCCATGACTTTTTTTGTGGTAGTGTTCAAGGATCTTTTCCCAAGTAGTGTGTTCATCTCAACAAGAGGTTCACTGTCCTTTGATTAATGATTACACTTACATGCACTTAACGTAAGCAGCGTACAGGCAACTTTCTAAGGTGAGCTGATTTCTTAAATGTTGTGTAAATGAGTTTTCCATAATCAGGGTAGGGGATCAGAGAAACTTAATTTCTTCTGTTAGATTTCTGCTTGAGAACGATGATTTCTAGTATACACAGAACCACGTTTCATTTTATTTTTTTACAAATTACATGAGCATGGTATTAGATAAAAGTGAGCATGGAAAGTAGTGGAGTGGACTGGGTAGAGGAAATGAGAGATCATTACATATTTAAAAGTTCTATGTAAAAGTCCACCCAAAGTCAGACTAAAACCGAAACAAAGACAAATGGCCTGTAGAAGTCTAAATAAGGCAGTTTCCACCACTGTATATTTGAGTACAGGCCTGTCAGTCTGCTATGACCAGCACTCAGGAAGCAGCATCTTCTATCACTGTAAAGATAAAATCTGTGACCCATGGTTCCAAAGTGAGTCCAGGGCAGATTAGAAATCTGGTCTGATCTGATCTGATATACTGTGTTTGCTTTGGGTATGGTAATACACAGGGAAAATGTATTTGCAATGCCATGGCGTGCATGCGTGTATGAGAAAGAGAGACACTGACCTACATAGTGCAGGTAGAGTGCCAGGTATTTGTACTGGAACAGGGGGTTGTTGGAAAGGCTGGAGCGCTGGATCTTCTGGAAGAAAGAGCTGACGTCCCAACGGTACAGGACATCGAGCAGCATGATGCTGGGAACACGCAGACCCACATTGAGCACCGCCTCTACACGGTCCTTCACTGCCATGGTCTCACAGCTTAATCTCTGATCCGTAGGCAGAACTGACCACTAAGACGGGATGTTAGCAGTGGGTGCACTGCAGAGAAAGAAAGAAGGCAAAAAAACCCCAGCAATTTAACAACGTAATGAGGTCAGGAGGCGGTTTTGGATGACAAGAACAAAAAATTGAATGCAATAATCTACTTTACAACCCTAAATCAGAAAAAGTTTGGATGGCATGTAAAATAAAAACTGAAAATAGTGATTTCCAAATCACTATGGCCTCGTGACTCATAATAGTGAATTGATAAAACTGATTAATTCAATGTAAAGCACATGCAGATAAAATAATCACCACATCACAATATTTAACAGTTAAGATGATGGAAAAACCTCACACAGTGAACAACAGTTGCTGCATAGCAATGTGCAAAGCAATACTGGGTCTGGATCTTTGACTTAAAGCACTTCCAATAAACCAATCACTGTTAACCAGGTTCTCACCTAGCACTGGCACTTCGGCAAACTAACAGTAATACAAAGGGAAATTATTTCAGGATAACACCAAAAAACAGAGGTTCTGCTGTGTTTTCACAAGTTCTTTGTTTACAACCCTGCAATTTGGGTGCGGTGGAACTAGTAGTCGGATCCTTAAGTAAAATTTGCTATATCACAATGTAAAAATACTCTTATTACAAAATGTTAGGCTAATTTTAACTACCTTATATGAATATAATTTTAATTACTGTTGGGTAGCTTCTGAATTCTAACCCATGATAAATAGTCTTATGATTAGCCTATTACTAGCCTATTACTACCCTATAACTCAAGTTATCAAACAAATGTAGTGGAGTAAAAAAAACAAAACAAAAACAAACATGCACAACATAACAGAAAATGAAAATACTCAAGCACAGGTACCTCAAACCTGTACTTAAGTACAGTCAATAAATGTACCTAATTATTTTCCACCACTGCTGCAAACGATCATTTCACAGATGAATCCAGCTTGAATCAAATCAAATCAAATCAAATTTTATTTGTATAGCGCCAAATCACAACAAAAGTCATCTCAGGACACTTTACAAAGTAAGGTCTAGACCTTACTGTTATCAATATTATTACATAGGGAAAACCCAACAAATCCCCCTTGAGCAAGCACTTGGCGACAGTGGGGAGGAAAAACTCCCTTTAA